GTAACTGTCACACACAGACCTCGCCCCCATGAGCTTTTCCTGCACCAGTGGTTCCATGCACTGCCTTTGCAAGTCTTCTCTGCCCTCCAGCAGCTCAGCCTATGCAGGAGCAGTGTTCTCTGAGCGAATTCAGAACCTTCAAAATCTGTCCTTATTTTTTCCCAAGCTAAAATTTGTTCTCCAGTTAAAAGGAAGCGGGAGCAAGAAGAAAGAACGGAAACAAGCAGTAACCTTATTTCTTTTAATGCAGAGTTTAGCTAGGGCAACCACAACAGGAGCAATTCAATTTATGAGCAATCCATGCGGTCCCATGGCGCTATCTAGCGGCCAATATGTGGAACTACAGCTTCCTGATCCCCTTGCAGCTGATTTTTGAATACGCATCCTGGGTGTAAGACTTTTATCTCTAAGGATACAACCTTGTGTTACACTCTGGATCTGAGTTTCCAGGTTCCAGTGTCCCATGACAAGAATTGTGCCAGATCACACGATAAGGTAATAGAAGTAGAGATAACAGGGTTTTGTGGGAATTTTGTTTCTCTTTAAGTATTTTATTATTTTTATTTTATGTGTATGAGTGTATTGCCTGCATGTGTGTAAGTGTAAGTGCACCCGTGTCGTGCAATGCCCGCGGAGGTCATAAGAGGGTGTCAGATCCCCTGGAACTGGATTTACTGATGGTTGTTTAGTAACATGTGGGTGCTGGGAACAGAAGTAGAGGCCTCTGCAAGAGCAGCCAGTGCTCTTAACCACTGAGTCATCTCTCCCGCCCGCTTGATTTTTAAAGAAAGAGAGGCCCACGTCTTTAATTCCAGCACTCAAGAGGCAGAAGCAGGTGGATCTCTGTGAGATTGAGGCCAGCCTGGTCTACACTGCAAGTTTCAGGCCAGTTGGACCTACAAGGAGACCCTGTCAAGCAAGGAAGGGAGGGAGGAACATAGGGAATGAAGGAGAAAGGAAGGGGGAGGGAGGGAGAGAGGGGGAGAGAGAGAGAGAGAGAGAGAGAGAGAGAGAGAGAGAGAGAGATTCCAGAAAACAAGAGTGGGATAGTGAGCTGGGAAAATGCATAGGCTCAAAAATGTTGTCACAAGTCTTGTGAGCTTTTATTGCACCTGCTTGCTCTTATGCTTTGCCTGCATGTATGTAAGCGCACCTATGTATGCAGTGCCTGCTGAGCCCAGAAAAGGGCATTCGAGTCCCTGGATCTGGAATTACAGTCCTTCGTTAGCCACCATGTGGGTGCTAGGAATCAAACACAGGTCCTCTACAACATCAGTCCATGCTCTTAACCACTGAGTCATCTCTCCAGCCCCTTGGCTTCTTTCTTTTTAAACCTGATGTTCTTTGCATCCAGCCACATGCCCCACCTGTGGTCAGAAATCTTTTAGGGGTGCAGATAGATGATGATCAATTGATTTTTTGTAACTTCTTCCATGATAAGAAGGGGTGTAGTCCCCTCCTAAGAAGGGCAACAAAACGTTCCCTACTTGAGATTTCATGTAGTAAGAGTTGGCTCATATGCCTGCAACATTAGTCGTTTGAAATTGTCACATATGATAAAAGATACAAATTTTATAAGTATGAAAAATTTAGGGGCTGGAGAGATGGCTCAGTGGTTAAGAACACTGGCTGCTCTTGCAGAAGACCTGGGTTTGATTTTCAGCACTCATATGGTGGCAACCAACCATTTGTAATCCTAGTTCCAGGGAAAACTGACACTTTTTAATATCATGGGGTATCATTTACTAATTGTTGGCCTTATTTTCTGAGTGCTCAGAATTCTATTCAGAAAGTCCTTATCTATATTTTTAAAAGTACTTCCTACTTTTTCCTCCAGCAGTTTCAGAGTTTCAGATTTTATGTTGAGGTCCTTGATCCATTTGTAGTTAAGTTCTGTGCAGGCTAAGAGATAAGGATTTAGTTTCATTCTTCTCAATGTAGCTATCCAGTTTTCCCAGCACCATTTGTTGAGCTTGGTGTCTTTTCTCCAACATGTATTTTTGTTGCAAATCAAGTGGCTGTAGGTGTGTGGCCTTGTAGCTGGGTCCTTTATTCTATTCCATTCATCTATGTATCTGTTTTATGCCAACACCATGCCATTTTTATTACTATGCCTCTGCAGTATAACTTGAAATCAGGAGTGGTGGTCCCTCCAGCAGGATTCTTTTTCTCAGGATTGCTTTGGCTATCCAGGGTCTCTTTCACATGGATTTTAATACTTTTTTATTTTCTGAAGAATGACCCTGAAATTTCTACTGGGATTGCACTGAAGGTATTGATTGCTTTCAGTAAGATAGCCATTTTCACAATTGTTTCTTCCATCCCTGAGCATGGGAGGTCTCCCCACCTTCTAGCGTTTTCCTCAATTTTTTTCTTTAGTGTTTTAAACTTTTCATTATAAAGGTTTTTTACATCCTTTGTTAGGTTTGTTCCAAGGCATTTTTCAGGTCACTGTAAAAGAGACTGTTTCATTGATATCTTTTTTCAGTTTATTGTTGATATATAGAAAAGTTAATCATTTTTGTATGCATATTTTGTTCCAGCCACAGCTGACCTGGAACTTGCTATGTAGACTAGGGTGGCATCGATCTCACAGAGATCTGCTTGTCTCTACCTCCCAAGCACTGGGATTAAAGGTGTGTATTACCACATCCAAATTGGTATTCATTCTTTATCCCACATATACATATAGAGATAAATACTGGGAGACACTGTCTCAAAAGAAACTAACAAAAACAATGAATACAAGTTAAAGAGGCTGCAGCAAGTTCAAAAGGCACAAAAGTACATTGAGAAGGAGTCTGTATTGATAACAAATCAGATCAGTGTGAGGAGGGAACTGCTCCTGGAAACTGCTGGTGAAGCTACTGGAGTCAGGTTTGAGAATGAAGCTGCAGAATCCAGCTAACAAGGCCAGTAGCAGGAAATGGTGGGTCAGGTCCAGACAGATGGACAAGTACAGGAGCAGATAGTGGAGTATGCTGTGTCAATAGTGAGGGACCTAGCCAAGTCTGCATGACCTTGGTCGTTGAAGCACACCCCAGGTATCAGAAGATAGGATGGTATGGGGCCATGCCATGGCAGTGTTAAGTGTTCAGAACTTTGTGGAGTCCAGGGACTTCATCTGATGCATGCAATAAGTTCTTGGACCTGGTTTCCCTGATATGATTTTAATATGCCCCGGTGAAGCCACGCTTTCAATTTTCCCTAATAAATGTATACAGGCTGGCTCCCTTTCTATGCCCAGGAATAAGTAATTTATCAGTCTTTGCTGGATGGGGTGCCTGACAGATGGTGCGATTTCTGGGTCCACTTAGGACTGCAGTCACCCTTCTCCCTGAAAATGAAGTCAAAAGCTGATAGTAAAATGGAGTCTCATAGGACCATGCAAAACCTGAAAAGCCACTGTTCTAAACAATATGGAGTAGCTTGGAGTAGGGTACAGCCTGATCTCAACCGAAAGTCCTTCCTTACCTGGGTTTCATCTAATGAACAGAGTTGTTCTGGTTTGTTTCTTCATTGCTACAACAAAACACTCTGACCACTACCAACTTGAGGAGGAAAGGGTTTATTTTATCTCACATCTCCCAGGTCACAGTTCATCCAGAAGCCCAAGGTAGAAACTCAGGGCAGGAACCTGGAAGCAGGAGCTGGAACACAGGCCATGGAGAAATGCTGCTTACTGGCTTGCTCCCCATCCCCCATTCAGCCTGCTTTCTTATGTAACACAGACCCACCTGCCCAGGGGTGGCACCACCCACAGTGGGCTGGGCCCTCCCACATCACTCATCAAGAAAATGCCCCTCAGACATGGCCACAGGCCAGTCCAATAGAGGCAATTCCTCAACTGAGGCTTCCTCAACCCAGGTGTGTCAAGTTGATACTAAAGCTATCCAGCATAAGAGTATAAACAAAAAAAGCTGGCTGTGTACAAATATGGGTGGGTACTGCATAAATGCAAATGTTTGTGAAGGTCATAAGCCTCAAGGCCTGTTGCTTGGGGGGTGTCAGCTCACTGGCCAACTCCCATTCTCAGGCATGCTTACCCTTCCTTTTTTTTCTTTTTTTTTTTTTTGTGCTTATTTATTTTTTATTTTGTAAGGAGAGATGCCCATGTGTGGTGATCAGAAGACAACTTGGGGTAGTTGGTTTTCTTCCATCATGTGGGTCCAGAGAACTGAACCCAAGTGGCCAGGCCCCTACTAGTTTAACCATCTTGTGGTTTCTTAATAAACTGTCCCTATTTCGATTTTTAATTGTGTTCCTGGTCCATTTCATAGCCCTGGGTCACAAGATCCCGGATATTTCAATTCATTTGTTCCTGGGACATTCCAGAGGGTGCAGAGGGACTCAGATCCATCCCATCCTGTTAGAGAATGGAGTTAAGTGTGAGCAAGTTAACACATAGCTCAGAGGCACAGTTTTATTAGCTAAAAGTCGATTGCCCACCTTAGGCCAGGTAAGTTATGAAGTTGGCCTCTAGCCAGTCAGAGCTACAGAGAGCAGACTACAAGAGGATTTAGCAAAAACAGCTGTTTTGCTAAAGTCAACCTCCTGAATATGAACCAGGATGTGTGGTCTTTGTGGGTAGATGAACAGAGGGCCCAATTTAGACCATCTGGAGAGGAAACTGAATCTCAGAGGATGAAGAAATAAGTCACTGAACTGGAAAACCGGATGCTCTCCCAAATCATCAGATCTTAAACCATCAAACAAGGCTAGCCAGAGTGTCTTTTTAATATGACTGATAAAAAATAGCGGCTAACTTTCTAAGGTCATTCAAATTTACCAACGTGCAAGTACAAAGCTCACATCCCCTCACCACAAAGGGCCAACTCTCCGACATGAACGGACTCCAAAAGTGCGATAAGCAAGAATGTACGCACAGTACAGCAGAAGCCTGAACTCTCGCGAGAACAGTCTCCATGTCTCCAAGACTCAGCGTGGGAAAGCCGGAACTCTCGCGAGATAGGTCGCCGCTTAGCGGCGCCTCCTGATAGGAGGGAGAGCGCGGAGCTATGGCGGGACCGGGGTGGTCCGGCAGCAGGATGGACAGACAGCAGGAGCGCGACGTGTGCGAGCTGGTCCGGAGGCTGACCGGCCTCCAGGACCAGGCGGACCCCAACTTCCATCTGGCCTTGAACTTCGCCTGGTCCAACTTCAGGTGTGGGGCGCGCCGCACGGATCCAGACGTCCGGCCGTGAGCCCCGGGCGTGCGGTAGGGTGGGAAGGAACCGGCGGGCCCGGGTGGCCACAGGTGCCCACTCGCAAGCTGCCCTGCCAGTTGTCGACCCTGCTTTCCCTCGTATGGCCATTGCACATCAAAGCCATTTTTAAATGATTGGAAAAGTGAATGTTTAGAGCAGAATTATGATCACATCATGCTCAGTTTTCTGTGGTTTACTGTTTGTCTCTAACACCTTCACCTCTAGCCAGAACGTAAGTAACCTACAACGGGTTACTGTGACGAGTCCTCTACTATACGTTATATTGCAGGTCCTTTTATAATCAGTTTTTAAAAGATGAATATGTAGGGGGGGCTGGAGAGATGGCTCAGCGGATAAGACCACTCACTGTCTGTTCTTGCAGAAGACCCAGGTTCGAATCCCAGCACCCACATGGCAGCAAACAACTGTCCGTAACTCCAGTCTCTTCTGTCCTCTGCAGGCTTTGCACGGCACGGGTGCACTTACCTACATGCAGGCAATACGGGCATACACATAAAGTTTAAAAAAATAATAATAATAAAAGATTTTTTTAAAAAGAATAATATGTAGTTTAGGTATATATGTAATCTATCTAATTTTCTTCATGGAAAATGTAAATTAGACAATACTGTTATAATCGTTACACATGATGGAATTACTACTTAAAAGTATGTTAGAACTAGCACTTGGGAGGCAGAGGCAGGTGGATTTCTGTGAGTTCAAGGCCAGCCTGGTCTACATAGTGAGCTCCAGGCCAGAGAAACCCTATTTCAAAAAGAACACCCCCCCCCCAAAAAAAAAGAATGTTAGAACTAATAGCCTACCTGTTTAATTTCAGTAAAAATCTTTTTTGTGTATGCTGGAAATTAAATCCATTGCCCCTTGCTTGCTAAGCTCAGGTCTACTACTGAGCTACACATAGTGCTCTCAGTGAAGAGTGAACAGTTCCTCAAACTCTGTCATCTTGATTACCTTAATAAACAGACATAAGGTACCTACTTGGTTTATGAGAATACAGAACTCTCAAGTTCATTGAAAGCATACCAAGTGTCCAAAATAATAAATGCAATTTGTAATTTTAATTCATAAAAATCACAATGATTAAGATAAGTTGTATAACTCAAAAAGTAATTGTATCCCAAGTAATTTTTCTAGGAATATCTCTAAGCAGGAGTAGGCAGATGATCCCCATTTTAGAGTTGGAGAGATCTGAGGTATTGCTTTCTCCTTTGGCAAATTGAAAATGGGGTTGTGATAAAGTTATGTTACATGCAGCCATTTGCTGGGATAGAATTAAACGTGTTATTCAATAGTGTAATTTACTTTCTATTAAATTTTTGCAGTTTGCATACAATATACTTTGATGGTATTTAGATCCTTTCCTCCATCTGCACCTCCCCCCACTGCCCTTCTGCAATTTACTATTAAATACAGATTGCTGGCTTTGCTACTAAATGGAAAATGAAGATTAAATGGTATTGCTGTATTTTTTTTTAATGTGTATGAGTGTATTGCCTGCATGAATGTGAATGCACCCATGTTGTGCAATGCCGTGGAGGTCAGAAGGGTTTTTAAATATTTGACAATTTAAATTTGAATATACTTTTTTTCTTTGTATTTCCTTTGGCATATTCAACATTATTCAGAGTTCTTAGACATCACTGGGCTTCCCTCATATAGTAAAAAGACTAAGAAAGGACTGGAGAGATGGCTCAGAAGTTAAGAGTACTGACTGCTCTTTCAGAAGCCCCAGGTTCAAATCCCAGCAGCCACATGGCTGCTAACAACTGTCCATAATTCCAGTTCCAGGGGATCTAACGCCCTCTTCTGTCCTCTTTGGGCACTGCACAACACAGGTGCACTTCCAAACATGCATGCAATACACTTATATGCATAAAATAAAAATACATTTTTTTAAAAATTAAAAATAAGCCATGCATGGTGGTGCATGCCTGTCATTTCAGCACTTGAAAGCAGGATCATTGTGAGTTGAAGGCCATCATAGGGGAATGGAAAGATACAGATGCCAGAGGACAAGGTTGGGAGGAATAGCAGTCATATGCAGAGATACAGAGAGCTATGACTCGGGTAACTTAGCTGTATGGCAAAATTGACATCAAAATTTCATTTTATCTTCATTAGATTTCATCGTTTCTTGGATGTCAACAGTCACAAAATAGAAAAAACAATAGATGGGTATGTCATTTATATATCTATACATATTCTTTAATGTATGTTTAAGATCTTTTGGTTAAGCTTTACAGCCATCAGTTGGTGTTTTTGTGTTTTAGAATTTATGAAAAATTCACCATTCATTCTGACCTCAGCAAAGCAGCTAGCTGGAAGAGATTAACTCAGGAATTTCTAAATGCATCACTTCCCAGCACAGAGGGAAAAAAGGTAAGCCTTCAGTTGTGAGCTCTCCATTCTGTATTTACTCTTTCCACTGTATTTGTTGTTATTTCATTCGTCACATTTAAACATTCTGTTTTAGTGCTGTCTCTTGGCTGGAGCAGAGTTTCCTTGAAATTGGCTTAGCTGTTGCCCTTAAACTAAGTGTGCCTCAGGTTTGTTATGAAATAAGCAGCGTGGTCTAGTTTATCCCTCTCACCTCACATCTGCTGTGGTTGTAGAGATCAGCAGTTCATATAAGTAATAGCACTGTCTGGGTGTTTTAAAATGTTCAGATGGCATCTTAGCACTTGGTGGCAACTGTTTTCTAGATGTCAAATGTACTTTGATATTTTGTCAGGAACCCTAAGACCACCTGTAGGTAGAGTGATTTTTTTTTTTAATATTTGATTATTTTTATTTTATGTATATGAGTGTATTGCCTGCATGTATGTGAGTGCACCCATGTTGTGCAATGCCGTGGAGGTCAGAAGAGGGCTTCGGATTCCCCCTGGAACTGGAGTTAAGGATGGTTTGTAGCTGCCATGTGGGCGCTGGAAATCGAACCCGGGTCCTCTGCAAGAGCAGTCAGTGCTCTTAACCACTGAACCATCTCTCCAGCCCCCTAGAGTGATTTATTACAAGGATTCATAGAACTTGGAAATCTGCTATCTCATTGTTAATGGTTATTGCCATGAAAGGATGTGGATGACAATCAGGAAAGAGGGTGGAGATGCAGAGAGCAGAGACCAGCATGTATGGTAGGCTACACCCCTTAGGTTGGTACATGTCCTCTGTGATGTTTCCTCAAGGACAAGACCACCCAGCAGTGTACTTACCAGAATGTATCCCTTTTGTTCTGTGACACATGACTATTTTAGTTAGTGCAGATTAAACTGAGATTAAGTCATGCATGCTCTCCACCTTATTTTTTGAGCCAAGGATTCTTACTGAACTTGGAGCACACCAATTATACTACATTGGCTGACCAGCAATTCCCAGGGATCCTCCTGTCTCTACCATCTCCCCAGAGCCCTAGAATAAGATATTACTAAAACATAGTGAACTCCATAGTGAATATTGTCATATGGGATGAACAGTGTATTTTGTACTATCTCCTCAGAGCCCTAGAATAAGATGTTACTAGAACATAGTAAACTCCAATAGTGAATATTGTCATTATGATAGTGTATTTTATAAAGGAAAATTAAGTTAAAACAGAAAACAATACTGCTGGGCAAAAGTATCCCCTTTTTAAAAAAAAAAGTTTTTAATTTTTATGTGTATGGGTGATTTGCCTTCATGTACATAACTACACCACATGTGCAATGCTTATGGAAGCCAGAGGAGAGCATTAAATCCCCTGGAACTGGAGTTACGGATACCTGTTTGCCAACATGTGGGTGCTAAGAACCAAACCCGCATCCTCTGAAAGAGCAGCCAGTGCTCTTTTAATTTCTGAGCAATCGCTCCAGCCCCCTCCCATGAGCCACTGTGCCTCAGTTAGCTTTTTTTAATTCTCAAGTAGCTTCATGTCTGTATGTATGTATATATCTGCCTCTTTCTGTGTTCCTGTTGTCAGAACCTTCCTATCTCTTGGTCTCAATACCATAAAATTCATCTAGTATGCAAAGCATTGACTCTTAGTAAATATATAGTTAGTTGTACAGCTGTACAATTTTTGTCATCGTAATCCATTTTTAGAACACTTCTATCACCTGAAAGTTTCCCTGGAGCCCATTTGCTGTCACTGCCTGCTCATATCCCAAACCCAGACAGCAGCTGATCTGCCTGAAGCATTTATAGTTACTTTTTTGAACCCTTCATGTCGCCGAGATCCTGCAGTTTTCAGTCATTTGTGTGTTACTTCTTTCACTTTGCATCCTATTTCTGTAGTTGATACATTTTTGAATTGTGTCTGTATGTCATTTTCTGTTGTTGAATAGGATCCCATTTATACACAGGCTGTGCTTTGTTCACTTACCCATGAGTGACATCTAGATTATTGCCAGTTTTGAGCTGTTATGAATAATGAGCTGCTGTGAACATTCTCACTTCAAGCTTTGGGCATGAAATGTTTTCATTCCTCAGAAAATTTCTAGGAGTGGAATTGCTGGCTCATGTGATAAAGAGGTTTAACTTTTTTTTTTATTATTTTTAAAATTTTTATTTATTACTTTTATGTGTGTGCAAGTATTGCCTGCATGTAGGTAAGTGCACCCATATTGTACAGTGCCCACGGAGGACAGAAGAGGCTGTCAGATCCCCTGGAACTGGAGTTACGGACAGTTGTTAGCTGCCATGTGGGTGCTGGGATTCAAACCTGGGTCTTCTGCAAGAAGTGTTCTTAACAGCTGAGCCATCTCTCCAGTCCCAACAGGTTTAACCTTTTAAGAAACTGTTGAATTGTTTTCCAGTGAAGTTATGGTTCTGGATTCCTACTAGCAATATATAGGGTTCTGGTCTCGTCATCCTTCCTGATGTGTGTTATTGTTCCTAATTGTGATTGCAGATGTCCTAGAGAGTGTGTGGTGCTACAGCCTTGTGGTTTTGCTTTCCATTTCCCTGGCACCTGGTTATGTTGAACTTCAACTTCTTTTCATATGCTTCATAGTTATTTGTCAGCCCCTTCTCATGGTTTTAAAAGCACGAACTCCGGGGTGAAGGTGCTGGCAGCTTTGGTATCTGTGGTATCTGGTGGCATGCTTTCTGCTAGCTTTTTAGAAGCTACCTTCCGTACTGTGTTTTTACATGGTAAGAGGTGAAGGGTCTCCTGGGACCTTTGTTTACTATTTATTTTTTTTATTTGTTGATTTTTGTGTGTATTTCATAAAGAACACCCCAAACATGAACATCCCAAACAATCTTATTTATCTATATACCCACTTCCCAAAAGGCACCCTCCCATAGACCTCCCCCCCCCTCACTGGAGCCTATATATTCTGCCATCCCTGTTACTGTCCACTGTGATGTCGGCACACCCAGCTGTTCCCCAGTGCTTGTCCATCCGCTGAATCTAGTCAGCCTATCTAGAGTTCCTTGTTTTAGGAAGATTAGCTCTTCCTCAATCTGCTGAATCTAGTCAGCCTATCTAGAGTTCCTTCTTTTAGGAAGATTGGCTCTTCCTCATCTAGCAGCAGTCAGTTGCCAATATTCCTTTAGATAAGATTGGGGACTGCTGTTCGTTGTCCCAGATCTATGCTGGGTTACTGTCTGGGAGTTGCTTGGGCCACCCTGGCTATACACATGGACTCTTAAAGACTTATATTGACCCCTTTAATCTTTGGTTATACTTTCGTTTTGGGTGTTTAAGATCATACAGTTGGTCCAGATAAACCGATTTATTTTTACTCTTAAGGTCATTTGAGGATCAGTTTCTCAGGGGTCACATGGGCTTGGGAGGAACCCTTGGCTCCTTTCTTTTACCGGTTCCATCTTTGTGAAGATAAGTCAAAGGTCCTGCTCGACCATGGCTGGCTTTGTTTGGAAGCATGGAAGAAATGTTTCCTCTGTGTTGACCCTCCCCTTTGTAGACTGGACACTGGTTCAGGTCCATTTGATGGGGTCTCGGTGCCCTCCTTGATCAAGAGGACAGGTGACTCACCACAGTTACAGGACATTTTGACAGGTGCTCATAGTCCCTGGAACTTAGTCAACCTAGAAGGGCAAGGACCAAAAACTATCCTTTATGTCCCTCTGACCAAATTAGTATAAGCCTCAAAGTATGGCTATTAAACATCCAAGAAAGTTAGTTCCACCAATCTGGTACTTTTAATTACCTTGTCCCCTGTAGGTAAAGCTTGGGCAAAGACCAAACGTTCTCAGATAAACCTTGCCTAGATATATATCATATTCCTTGAGCTAGTTGTATGTATAATTTGTCAGTAGATTGTTTGATTAATATGGTTCCCTCCAATTTTTTTAAAACTAGCTAGGCATTATTTATCCTTTGCATTGTCTAACAGTTCCACATGGTTTCCCCATTTAAAGTACCCCCATTTTTCCCATTTCTCCCTTAATAATACCCTTCTCCTATGGTCCCACCTCTCTTGAGCTCTCTCTTCCCCTTTATCCCCTAGGTTCCTTGTATAACCTTCCCTCCCCCTTCCCCTTAAAATAACACCATTTTTATCCATAACTCCCTTATTAATGCCTATTTCCAACTGTTCTCTTTCAGATTCTTTTCCTTTACCTCACAGGTTCCTTTCCATTATCCTGGTTCCTGTAGTTATGTCTGGATACATACTCACTTCTCAGGATTTAGTGCTAGGATCCACAGATGAGGGAGAACATCCATCGTTTTTTTTGTTGTTGCTGCTGCTGTTGTTTTTTTCTGAGTCTGTGTTACTTCACTTAGTATAACAGTTTCTAGTTCCATCCATTACATGCAAATTTCATGATTTCATCTTTCTTTACTGCTGAGTAAAACTCCATCTTAGCTATTGTGAAAAGAGCAGCAACAAACATGGATGTACAAGTGTCTCTGCAATAGGATGAGTTCTTTGGGTATATGCCAAGGAGTGGTATAACTGGGTCAAATGGTAGGTTCATTTGTAGTTTTTTTAAGAGCTCTCCACACTGCTTTCCATAGGAGTTGAACAAGCTTGCAATCCCACCAGCAGTGGATAAGCGTTCCCCTTTCCCCACATCTTCTCCAACATTTGGTATCATTTGTTCTCTTGATTATGCCAGTCTGACAGGGGTAAGATGAAATCTTAAAGTGGTTTTAATTTGCATTTCCCTAATTACTGGTGATGTTGAACACCGTTTAAGATGCTTCTTAGCATCTTATTTCTTCTTTTGAGAATTCTCTGTTCAGCTCCTTAGCCCATATTTTAATTGGGTTACTTCCTTTCTTGAGTCTTTGTTTTTTGAGTTCGCTATATATTCTGGATGATAAACTTCTATCAGATGTGTTGCTGGTGAAGATTTTCTCCCATTTTGTGAGTTTTCTCTTCACTTCCTTGGTTGCTTCTTTTGATGTACAGAAGGTTTTTATTTTAATGAGG